TGTATCATCGTACGCCAGCGTGACATGCGTGAAGTGCTCATGACACGTGTGCTACGTGGGGCTGTCGCACGGATCACAAGGTGGTACGGAGCAAATTGTACATATATTTTCGTAATTCTATTTATTGCTTACCTGCCTTGAACCGTCACAAATTCAACGCTCTTTATCTAAGTACTGTTGATAAGAGGATAGAACTGGAACCCGCCCTAACGATGCCGACTGCCTCGCATCAGTCCGAGAGCTGTGACACCACATCGGCGAACAGGCAATGGCTGCGGCCGAGGAAACGATGGGGCGCGCAAACAGTAATCCGCCCGATTAGTTTGATGACAACAATGTGACCAGTGGCACATTGGTGTCGGCGAAGAATGCATTCGCAGCACATATAGAGACTTCTGCCGACTCGGAGTAAGGTAGTCAGTTTCGCGAACTTCGATAACGACTAACTTGAAAAATCCGTCGCATCAAAAATGCTTGATGGACAGAGAAATCGAAGCACATGGAATGCTACACCGAACTCCGCCAACATGAGGATTTCACTGATTCCTTAAAAGCGGTGTGTGAACCCACCTTGCCGCCGCTGAGGACGCTGGTGGATACTAATTCAGACGGTGCCTACACGTCGACTGCTGATATGCAGATTTGGCGAACGCACTTCGATTATCTCTTAGACAGCCGATCAGATATTGACTGGAATATGTTGCACGGGCTGCAACAATGTGAGACAAAGAGATACCTTGCCGACCCATCATCATCATCATTATACATGTCAGCTAGAGGTGGTGAAACACCTCCGCTATTGTACCGCAACCTTGCAGATCCACTGACAGTGGATGCGACACAGAGCGCACTTGCTCATTTGCCGAACGGAAAATGCGATGGAGCCGAGGGGGTACGGTCAGAAGTGTTGAAACACGGTGAACTCGCGTTGATACATTCGCTGCACTACTTGGTGCAACAGGTGTGGTCTGAAGAGGAGGTACCGGTTGGGATGAAGGTGGTACGGTGATGCTGCTCCCAACACTGACATCCTTTGGGATCCATCAACGTCGAGCTCATAGTGCCATATCACATGCGGTCGCGAGTGCCTTAGTCAAGCGGCATGGCCACGCGGGTCCAACATCGAGAAGACGACCAGTTAGCTGATTAGATAAGCATCAGCGGAGCGCTTGGTATGCCGCTTCCGTTTACTAACCCAGGCCAATAATGCGGTCGATGTGGCACATGCGCAACTTCATCACTGCAGTTGGTCTGTACGTGTGTCTTCGCCTATCTTCCCCATTCCAGGTGCTGGTTGTGAATTGTTCCGCATAACACTGGATCTGACTGAATTCATTATATATATATATATATATATATATATATATATACTCCATTATGTTAATCCTCACTTTATTCACTATTTATCTTTGGTGTCCCCCCACTTTTTCTTTCCTCTTTCATTTTCTGTGTTGTTTGGTTTATATCCACTTATAGTTGCCAAAGATCGCCATAATTCTAGACCAGACTTATTGCACATTTCTATTTGCGATTTTCTGTCATTCTGCCACACATTTACTGTCCACTTAGTGTCATTTTTACATTTTGTTTGTTGCTTGATAACCCGGTTGTGGCTGCGCTTGACAAGGTGCCTACCTGTCGGAAAACGGCCACGTCGATTGTACTGTCTCCAGGAGGCAGTTGGTCGTTACTTAGGGAGACGGGGTGCACGGTTCTCGTTACCTTGCTAGGCTCACAGAGTTACTCCATCCAGTGTGGAGCGGTCTACGGCTCAGTCGTCGCCTTGCGTACTTCTGGTACACATGATTCCCAGCTTAGGTAGACGGGAATGCTGCTACTGTGCACGTTGGAGTGTGAGCGGGCTCTGCTGATGAAACCTGTCTTCAATCCACATGCCTCCCCGTCTTATTCCTCCGGGTTTACATTGGATATGGTGTGTGTGAATGGAGCTGTGTGGATTGCAGCACAAGCCACCCACGGTCTCTCTTTAGGCACAGACGTTCTGTGGCTGTCCTATGAAGACTGCAGTGACAGGCCAATCCAGTATCGGATGCCGCCAACCGTGTTACCCACTTACACTACGGCCAGTCGTAGGTGGGAGTTGTCATGTTTTCACTAATTTGACTAGAACTGTGGCTTGAGACGGGCGGTAGCAGACAATGGCACTCGAAGTGGTATCCTTCTACTATCGTGCTCCACACCAATCGAACTCATAGCCTATAAATCTGTTTTCTCCTATGGCTTACTTTTTAAGCGAATAGGGTCATCGACCTCCCTTTAACTTTCGAGGAGGATTGTGCGATGATTTAATATGAACCCTAACCACCGAGCTGTCTGCTATGAGTTCCTCTGAATGCACTTCGACAGTTTCACCCAGCATAGCTCACTGGGTCACAGAGGTACCTAAACCATCGCATTACCTTTAGACTTAGCCTCGTCGCGCAGGCTAATGTGTCCGTGTAAGAAGCACTCTTGTCTGCTTGTTCGTTTTGGCATAGACCACCTGAATGCACCTCTAGTGGATGAATTTCAGATACTTTAACAAATTCGTTTGCAGCATGAAAGATATGTTGTAAGTCAATTTGAGGGCATCCGCAGCACCTTACTATTGAATGCGACCGTTTGTCCCGCGGTCATTCATGAACTTCGGCTAATCGCGAGAACATAAGTAACACAGTTTAAAGCATTTTAGCTGCAGCTCACCCGTCTCACAAATCCGTATATGGTTCCCATGATTGAGATGATAGCCTGGTAAGGTGAACGTTTGATTTACCCGCATTCCCACCGACTTGATCGTTCAGTTGAGCACTTCGAAGATAAACTCAGTTACCTGCATTCGTCTGGTACGTGCATGTCACGTTCCCCACCATAGAAAAAATCCGTCACGCACAGTTGTTACCTTTACGGAACAAAACACCTGATCCCGATTACCATCCATCCTCACTGACATGCACTGGTAACTCACTTGTGGCTTGTCTGGCCGCTTGATTCTTCGTCAAGAAACAGCCACTAAAACGAAGTGTCTATAAATTTGTAGTTGTCATTCGTCATCTTCAGAGCATACCTAGTTGCTGTCTCCATTTTTGCCAAACTGCTTGCATACCTCGGTGGCTCCACCAGTCCTCGTGGGAGTTTAGTCCTTTAAAGTTCTGTTAGCTTCCGCCCCTTGTTGATGATCCGTTTTATGTTCCCTCATGTGATACAGCAACGCAGCGTCTGTAGACGACCTCTTATAGTTGTCTTGAGTAGCCTAAAGGCAACTTTTGATTCTCTTGGCTACATTTGTTTGTGGCACTCTCTTCATGGGACGTGCCAGTTATGTTCTTATCTTTTTCATTTATTGCCACGATTATTAGAGGCATATAAAGTTTTATCGGGTCCTCTCTCCTCATCCATGCGCAGTAGTTAGTCTGCATCGAAGATGTATTATTACTTGGTGTCATTTCAGCTCTAGAATGGAAAGAAACACAATCAACCATCTGTCTTACCTTCTGGCCTGAAGATTCCGCTGGATGAAGGGCTGTCGGACACAAACAACACTCATCTCTCTTTTGATGAAACTACCTGTTAGTCAGCGGTTGCCGAATTGGCCTACACGAAATGTTTCACTCCCTTGGCATGTGTCTCGCACTGTCAAAGGATAAACTAGGGCTGTTGTACTCGCTCAATGCTCCACCGCTACTCGGTTTCATCGAACAACCAGTTGAACTGGTAGATCAGCCTGACTAAGTTGTTATATTACCTTTAGTGGGTACACTGCCGTTGCGGCTGTTGTGCACACTGGTCAATCTCGCGTGGTTTTTCTACAGCTCAATTGGTTATGGGGTTGAAGATGAGTTTATTGGCTGAGGGCCGAGTGGACAATGTTGTGATGCAGCTATTTTTGTCGTATGAACCAATAGCGTAACCAGTGCGTGCTGATAAAATTGAAAGACTGATCACCGATAAGTGCAGGTTTACTCATATCTTTTGGAAGCATTGAAGCGTTAACTCCGATGCCACTTGATGTTTTTCCGCAATCCCACTGTGGTCTTGTTGAAATCGGGGCGCTTGCACTGGTCAGAGTATGAACTTCGGGTCTCCGCAAATCTACTGTGAGTTATTCAGTTGAACAGTTATGATCCGAGCACCGAAGTGTGGCGGATCCAGTTGCCACGACTCACTCGCGAGAATTCAATAAATAACACCCATAGGATAGTGGGATTGGGTGCAAATTAAATGTGCAGAAAATGTAAGGAAAAACAAATAAGAATGGAACGAAAATTAACAACCAAAATTAAAGCAACCGGAGGCAGGAACGTCACTGAGTTCGTGACTGCACCAACTCGGACGCAATCTCCCACCATTAGTGTGAACCGTCACGTGGCCCCCTGTGTGGCGCCTGTGTGCGTTTTTTTACGTCCGTTCCGTGCGTAGTTGACCAAAACTGGGAGATGATTCTTGTCGGGTTCGTGTCAAAAGAGCAACTGGGAGCTTACCAGAACGCTGAATTGCACCGACTACCTGGGTCGTTTCATCATTGGTTGAGCACTATCGGTTACCTCGAGGTAACTGAACCGGTTGTGTTGTTATATTTCCTGGCCTGTTTCTTACTTACGTCCCTACCTGACAGTCTCAGTTTTTAGAGAAGTAGTCCCGAGGCTAGTTACCCTGTCAAACTTGCTTCTTACCATTGACCTCTTTCAGCTTCTGATCAGTCTAGTTTTTGCTATGGAGAACAGCTTCCATCTAAAATTTGTTTTCCGCACAGTTACATTTGCTTTTTCCATCGGGTTTTTGGTTTATTATGTGTCTGGGCTTCTGCCACTAGTTTTATCGAATGGAATCATTTCAATCACAACATATTCATTGCGGACGTTGGCCTTTACGCTTGTCTTGCCTCGACACCCATGCCGTTCGGGTTGACCACTGCTAGAAAGCAGAATATCACACATTATTGTACGATGTGTTACCTTTTCATTTTCAGCATTTTTCCTGCTAATCGAAAATCAGTTTAATCTATGCCTCGCTACCGCGACATGGCTCGGCTTTGGACAATTACCTTGGCTCTATTTATCAGTATTCACCCGTCTTCTACGGAATCTTCTGCCGCGACCCGACCGGTAATTTACGATCGGGAAACCGATCAGTATTTCCCAGTCTCCGATTTTTCGTTACGCGCAGATCCTCCCTTCGTGACACCTGACCCAGATCCCAATGACTTTTCTCCCGAGTACTTAGAGGCACTCCTAAAGCATTGCGATGATCCTACTCCTGGCGCGTTAGAGTTTCTGGAAAAGTCCTGGATTGCCTTTAGAGAATTCGGGCTCAATTGGAAGCGCTATCCTTTTTCGTTTTCGATACTTTACCGAATTCTGCAAGCGATCCGCCTCGTACAGATACTCCATGTTCTTATGTTGGCCTTTTCACTCAGCGTGGCCCGTTGTTTATTGCAGAAGTGTCTGTTAAACGTGAGTCTTTCCTGCGTCCTATCATTTTTGTCTATGTTTGTGTATTTTTGGGTTACATTTTGTCACCGTTCACCATAGGTTGTGTTTATACCCTATCGTTTCATGTACCAATCACTGAATAGGATTGGGAGCTTTCCGCAACTTTCGAACCGTGGATTATTGTATTGTGTCTTGTAATTCTATAACTCGCAAAATACTCTCAGATCTCCTTGTCATACCTTGGTATCTTAAATAACTTGTGAATGTCGAATATCACTTGGGATCAGAGGCAAACCCGACGCTCCGAATCACCACAAAAACTGTGCGTAGACCACCGTACTAGTTGTTAACCGGCTAACACTTTCCGAACTGCTTGACCCTCTCTTGAACCTCTCTTTTTCTTGGGTTTCGTTGATGGCATAATTGTCTCATTCATTCCTTAGGGCAATACAGAACCGCCAGCCGTGTGTAATTTGAGTGGCAAATACCTTCACCTACTCGGTTAGTTGGCCACTTTCGTCCTTCCTCTACAACCTACCTTACGCCAGCGTTTTGAGTCAAGTGCATCGAATCGGCGGCATCGGAAACGTTAACATTTATATCAACGTTTATGCTTTATTCGTATATTGTGAACATCGTGCACATTAGCTCCAGTTAAACATTCAAGGCAATTTGCCCTCATCTACTAACCCGTTTGTTGTCGGGATACTGCTGAATAGCTACTTGTGAATTAGTACCCTCGTTCGTTTATAGGTCGATCCACTGGGAGTCCGTGAACTACTGTTCTGTACTCCCAGCTTTTGTAATTCACATTCCCATCATCATTACACGTTAATTAAATGTGATAGCACAATTAGGCTATTGTGCTGCAACACAAAAGGATAAAATATATGACAAAAATGAGATATAAAATATTACAGCATGCAACGTAACCAAAAAGTAATGTGCTAGTATTATATCATGCATCAGGTGAGAGTACGTAGTTGGAGGTGGAGATAAGCAGGGGGGGATAGACAAAGAAATTCACAAGACAAACGCCACTGAGTTCGGCTTTTCTTCACGTCAACCAGTGTATCCAACCAGCCATGTTCATCGTCCTTCGGACTCCAGTCGGTAGTCGAGAGACACTAACCGACGCCAAGTTCGAGGTGTGGGCCTTCATACCTCTTGACCAACTCATCGCTTGGCCTCCCCTCATCTTCTTCCATCCAAACCGCGGTTGCGCAAGCAATGCACGACGCGGAAGTTGGTGTGCTGGCATACGCAGTACGTGACCCAGCTCTCGGAGCCTGGTGCGTATAATAACGGTGCTGAGCGGTTCACTCGCTTTTCCCGCACCAAATACACGACGCCAAACGCATTCATTGATCTCGCGGTGTTCCCACCAGACATGAGCTAAGCTACGAATACGGCGATGCTCGAATGTGGCTATCCTTTTTTGTCTATCGATTTGATGGGACAGGTTCCGCAACTGTACAGGAGGGTTAAACGGACGGCTGCATTGTAATCTCTACCCTTCAGCGCGAGAGTGATGTCCCGCCGGCCACCCAGATGGCGGATATTGGTAAAAGCGCCTCGAGCTTTTGCTATACGGTCGATCTTATTTTTGACCCCACGGGCGATAATAAAGCCACCTAGCTACTTGAATTTCTGGACGATTTCTAGCTGATCACTACCAAGGGGCAGCGCAGGAATGCGTCTCTGACAAACTTAGGGAAAAAGTTCACATTTCCCATACTTATCATGTGTAACAATGATTCGGAAATGGGGTAAAACGCGAAGTCGAACAGATTGAATACAGAGTTAGAAAAGATAGCACGTGAAATTTGTCGGCCTGGAACATTGTCGGTAAGACGCAAGAGATGGAACACAGTAGCGGCATTGACTCCTTGACTGCACCCTCATCTGGGAAGACGACACGTACCAGTCCGACGAGGTTTCATAGTCGTTTACCCCATATCTTCCTACCGCATCACCGGCTTTCCACTCCCCGATTTCATCCAATTAGTTGCAACAAGCATTAACAGAGTGTCCAAGCTTAGTCATGAGCCAGCCAGGCTAACTGCTTTGAGGTTAACAGATACTTCAGTGTGATACCAGAAAGCCTATTGTCAAACACTAACTATCTGAATTTAATATTCCTTACCCAGTGTTCCTACCACGCAAGCGTAGTACTATAAGGGAATAATTACTCATGGGTGACCAGTTTACTATTCGTTCCGATTCGTTATAAGCATGTTTCTGATCCACACCGTTACATGAACTTTATGGCGGTCCGAGGCTTATTGAGACTTTAAGAAGTCACACGAGTCTTGTTGACACGTACAGTAGCCTTCACAGAAATGTGACCTCCAGAGGTGATGTACATACGCAGATGGGTGGTCCGGATGAATATCACATGACTGCTCAGTGATGTTTGGAACTGACAACTTGCTGCTCAGTTTTGAAAAATTACTGTCACATCGCCCCCATTCAAACTAGGCAAACCGGTGCTTCATATTGCCTTCCATTCGCAGAGCACGTGAACGGAAAGACTCGACTGACTTAGCCAAAGACGAATACTTTCTAGTTTACAACAGTACTTTCATCTTATCGATCAGCAGTTTGGCTGAAACGGGGTATGCACCGAGCCCTGCTTTCTTGTGATTTTCGCCCCTACTTTTGACTGGGCACATTACTTTGTATAACAATTGGATCGTCGACTCCGCGCAGGCGTAGTTTTGAGGCGACACATGATCTTTCTGTAGCAAGCACTCCACGCTTTTCAGATGCGAGGGCATTAGTGATACGCCAGTACGTCGGATCGAGGTTTCGCTGCCACGCAACCACCACCGGTCGCGCGTGGGCTAAGGATACTGCCTGGGTCACACGGTCCCCCACGCTGACTCAAACCGGTGATCTCCGGATTACAAGGCATGCGTGTGATCCTTTAGGCCACCGGACGCTGCGAAAGACATGCCAAGATGCGCGACGTTCTGCATCAATCTCTCCATAAGCACCTGCATGGGTTGTGTTAGACGGAAGTTGAACCATTTCATCCGCGTACTCGAGGTTTGTTAGGTGGTCACACGGCCCGTAGCCTTAAGCATCACAAGTCTGCATTGTAATCCGTGGGTGCGGGTTCGTGCCTGCGTGGAAACCGGGCGATCCTTGCAGTATCTGCAGCTCACTTGCGACTGGTGGTTGTTGCGCGGCAGCGAGGCGTCGGTAATGCGTACCGGCGTACTGCTGATGCCACACGGACCGGATCCGGCACGCAGCGTCAATCCATCCGGCCAGCCAACTGTACCCGAATTAGTTTAATAAAACTAGGGAACGCGAGACGCTGTGATACAATTTACATTTGACACCATGTCACATAGTTGGTGACCTTACACTGTTTGAACACCAGCGAGAACCATCCCTGGCTTATTACATGGGACACCATGTTACCGTGATCTTAGCATCCCCCACATCACTGGCACATTGATCTGAGTGGTGATCACGCATGAAACCGATTCATTCGTGCACCCTACCGTATTTCGGTTTACTTTATACCCTTGTGTCAAAATATTGGGATTAGTCCCCTCACTTGGAGCATGTATCACATAACATTCCACTAGTTAATACATGTGTCAGTTCGGAGTCATAATTAGAAGGAATTGCGAGTTGATAGTACGGAATTGCGCTGGAAGCGCAAAATGTTGAAGTTCATACATTTTGGTATTACTAGATGCACATTCCCCCAATGGCTCTTGTTCCTCAGTTTTTCTGACGTTTCAATTGCTCTTTTATTATGTTTGTATTTCAGTATCTTTTTCTTATTCAGATCCCATTTATTTCAGCCTTTATTAAAACTGGTTAGAGAAGAAAAGCGGACACCGTGTGTCGTGTTTTCGTCGTCTTGTCTCAGAGTTTCCGCTCTGACTCGCAAGTATTTTACATAAAATATTGTTAGTTATCTGGCCCGCGTTAATCATTTTTTCAGTAATCCGGTTCACGCCAGTTAATTTTTCTAGTTATCCGGCCCGCCGTAAGAAGAATTTAGTGACCCCTGGGCTAGGTGGTATTTAGCAGCGTTGCACCGCAGTTGCCGGGGCGGACGAAGGGCAACTTCTTCCGGACTATGACTCCGCCCACTAGGGTCATGGCTGTGAAACCGCAGAATGAAAGTTCCAATGACAGTCATACGAACTGCTGCTTTCCAAGTCACATATGATAGTCATCCTTGGTGGTCTTTATATATGTCACTGTTTCATCACCTAAATAGATGCAGCTGACCGGTGGTTGTCACATCTGCCGGGTTGGAAACCATCCTGGTTTTTACTTATTCAACTCTTTCGAGGTCCAGCGAACCGCAGCAGTATTGTGTCTGAATAGTTTTGTGGCTGTTACCTCGATGCTTCTCGCATAGCATTCTATGGCACTTGTAGAAGATGCTTATGACGGTTAACGGCCTCTATTTAGTACTTTTTATTTCTCTCATGTGGCATAAAACAGACCGGTATGCTCAACCACCAGCGAGTCTACCTCGTCTTTCCGCATGGTTGTGTGGCTATCGAATCCGGTTGCTTTATTTCCTTTCAGCACGGCGAGTTTCGGAGTGCCCTCTCTCGAAGTAGAGCTGCAATAGTAATGTGTCATGCGTAATCAGATGATTCAACACGTTACAATATCACAATAATCCTACCCAATCACCTTATCACCTTACAAAATAGTGTTAGTGGTGACAGGGGCGTGATTATATAAGTTGCTTCACCCATCGGTAAAGCTAGCATTGGTTTCACGAGTTTGCGACGTATGTGGCGTCAGAGGCATTTTCTCTTTTTACAACATGACAGCGATAAATGTTCTCCTTTATAAGACTAAAGTTCCTCCCCCCCGGTCGGGGGACCCGATGTGCCTCAAACCCTTTGACCAACTATGCCTGCTGAGCGTTACCCGTGTCGTTTGTGTTTAGCATATTTGCGACGGTGAGCTGCACGGGCAAAAACTAGACGACGGTGATCAGTTTCATTTCCTGACTCCATGGCATTGTTCGA